GTTTTACTATATACATTTTTCTTAGTTTTACTATATACATGCATGTAGCTCGAAAACTTGCCTAAAAAACAGGTTCAAAGATTATAATATACTTTCATTCTAGCTTCTTATTATTTCAATCAAATATTTTGCTTTTTTGGACCACAAAGAATACTCTGGATATGATTCACTTCTAACTCTTCACCGTGCATTGCAGTAGCTTTTCTTTTTCTGAAGTTATTTTATGAGTTTCTTTTACAATATCATCAGAATTTGTTGGATGTTCTCTTAGATTACTTCTTCCTATCTTAATGATTTTATTAGAAGTAATTTATTTGTTTTACCGTTTATCTTAACAGGTTTGTTAATTTGTCAAATTATACTTCCTTGACTTGTATGATATATCATGGCAATTCATCTACCTCGACTAATTTTGAGTGCATTTTCTATGCATTCATAAAAAATATAGCTTATCATCTAGTCAGTGTCTAAAATTCTAACATTTGAAGTGCTTCAACAAAGACACAAACCATTCAAATTACTTCAAAATGTGATCTGTTTTTTTTTTTTGGCTTTTGCTTCAATGTCTCAGCAATTCTATAAGTCTGTCGAGATATAAAACAGCTTTACACCACTTGTCATATTATTCTTATTAATCTCTAAACAATAATTCATTTTTTTCTACTTTGTCACAACAATATTATTGAGCTGAAAAGTAAATCATTTCTTAGATTCTCAAAAGTGAAATGATATAGTTGATCTCTAAAAATATAGATACATAAATCTATTGGAACATAAGTCACTTTTTATTCTCATAACAAATCTTAATTCCCATGAATGCAGAAGTACATTCGCAAAACTAAATCATTCAAATTGCCTCCATAGATGGACCAAACCAGGTGTGTGTGTGTAAATTCTGTACTCTTCCCTTTCCTCTGCTTTTCACCCGCTGCTGCACAAACTGGACCAGTGTTAGCTTTGAAGGCAGGAATTCTATTTATTCCCTATTTTGGTGTGTAAACATAGGGCTGAAAACGATCTGCGCTATCTCATTCGCACACATTTTTTGTTTGCTTTTGTAGGCAAACTTCATGATTGATGAATTTGTGGGCGCTGGATTTCTGTCAGCTTTTTCTGTCTCAACTCTCATCTCATACGTCTTCATGAAACGTTAGATCACGAGGATGATAATAACATGCTATTTGTGGATATTTACAATTCTATTCATCATTGGCATGCGTAAACAACTAGTCTAAATGTTTGATAGCGTGTTAAGTTCTTTGTGTCGGCATTAACGCGCATAGTTCAGATGTACTCTAATGTTTTTAGTTTTTGGATATAGGGCAAAGAACAATCGCTACTCTAGAACTTTCCCTTTTCATTGATCTAGGCTGTTAACCTTAATCATGACTTCTAGAAAGTTGGTAATGAAATCATAGGACAGATCGAGAAAATTACATTACGTTTGACTTACAATATATCTCTTGGGAAACTATAATTATTTTCGTATTGTAACTATCAAAAACTCTTTTGAATACTACTTATTCCAATTTTCATGACATGCGATCATGATTTTCAAGAAATTTGCTCAATGTTTAGTATGGTGCGGCTGCGGTGCCGACAACTCTGACGCGTAAAAAATGGCCGTCGAGAGCACATCTTCAAATTTCGTGCCCCACGGCAATCTAGTGTTGTGTTACCGCAGAGCACTATTAGGTCGATCAATGTACTCCATTCAATTATAAAGCTTTAAATCTCTATCAACGTTTTTCCCGATTGGGTTGGTTGCCTGAAATTTTTCAAATATTCAGTTCATAATTGCTATCTGTTTTATTTACCCCACGAAAAGTTCTGGTAGTGTCAACGGTAGTTGTAGTGCTATTGCGGTTCCGACAACACTATCGCGTAGAAATGGCCGTAAAAAACCTGAGATTGTGCGCTTTATGGCCACTTTACGCGCAAGTATTGTCACCACTGCAGTAGCTCAAAACCAGTCGTTTGTTTTCCTAGATTAGTATACATTCCATGAAACTGTTCACTTTCGTTCTCGATAATGTCGCTAATAATCAAAGAACTTAATAGACGAAATCTCGATCTGAATGATTTCTTGATCGGGTACGTAAGAGAAGTAGGAATTACAGAACAATTTTTCGTATATACGCATCTGCGTCATTATTATCGATCTAATTCTGCTTTCAGTGCCAAGAGCATGAATGTTTCCGCATTTTTGCCCAGATTACTTTGAAATCTTCTTCTAAGCCTTTCTCGCTAATGCTTATTCAAACGCGGTCACATTTCTGCGCCAACTCAGATGATGACGCAGGCGTTATAATATTTGATGCGTAATTTTGTAATGCACATGCTGATGAAATGAGTCTCTGACTAAGCAGACTTTCGAACAATCTCGAAAACAGATGTTTTACGTTGTTGTTAGTATTTAAAAGGGAAGAATCAACGCAAAATCGCCACTTCCTCTTTCTTGTCTCTTTCATAAGTCGGTCAACTAAAGTGGACATTTCATAATTCTTCACATTTCTTTATTTCGAGATATGAAGAATGAGCCAGCGTCATAAGTCTTTCGACAAAATGGCAAGGATTACAGAAAAACATCGCTTTCAATCAACTTTTCCCCTGTGGCGTCACTTCCCTGTCGGATAGCGCGCTCCACGGCGAAATCGATCGCGGGCAGAGACGCAGGCACGGAATTGTCATCACGCTCTGCCTTCCTGCTCTCTTGTAATCATCATTCGCTCGCGTTCCGTGGTGCTCGTCTCGTTTTCCCTCGAGCAACTTCCTTCTTTGACGTTCGTATGTAAGATTTTATTGTTCTTTCAATTCTAGAAAGGTTACTGAGGTGGTGGGAAGCGGCTGAATTTCTATACAAGGTACTGTTGTATCGAGTAGGTTTGGCCCAGTTTTAGGGATGATGTCGCTTGGAAGTTTCAGGGACAGTTCCAACTAGATTTCTCACCATACAACGCTTTGAATGAGACCTTGGTATGGTGGAAATTGAAAATTGTATTCAGCGATTCCAGCTCCAGAGAAACGCATATAGTCTTCCTCCACCTTCATCGATCTCTGCCTACTCGATGAATTTTGAGGAAGACTGCCTTCGTAGCACAGGATGAATGGTCCCTTTGGATGACCTCATTTGACCTGCGTCGCTCTCCCTATGCCGGCGTCTCTAATTGTTTGGAACAGGTGCCAGCCAGCCTGAATAGCTCGGCTGAGGTGACAATCCGCACTGCAAAGGTCCAAAATACGAGAGCTGGGGACTCCATTTACGCAGTTTGAGCAATCTTCAGGTCACAACTAGCTCTAGTGATGAGGGTCAAATCGAGATAAGATTTGACGAGGTCATTGGACTGCCGGTGAAATCGATGATTTGCTCGAGATTGCTGGGTATAGGCTGGAGTGGGATGATTTGATCGGATGGTGACATAGAGTTCAAATCTCTGGCAGTCGACCAGTCACAAAAGACTCGATCCCAGAGACGCGTTCATCCTATAGTTCAGGTAGATGTTGACTGTTTTATAAACATTAATTTGGGGTACAGTTTGCAGTCTTCGACTCGAAGTGCTCATTCCTCATTTGTATCATTCTACTACTTAAATGAGGAGAAGTCTGAGCGAGTTCTGAGTAGTTCAGAATTCTCCAAGTAACAAATATCTAAACCAAGGTTATATATGAGTTCGACTCGATGCAGTGGTTGCTCACTGAATTAACTAACAGTGCAAACCCGATCAATATACGGTTGCTTTGGGTCGTTTCGCGTACATTCCGCATGATCGCTGAATATTCCAGTCAAACTAGAAGCGACTAAAGAAAGTTGACTATCAACCTTTGTCGACCAAGGTTCGGCGTAGAACGTTCTACACACATGACGTAATCATACGACCACAAGCAATGAACACATGCTTGGTAATTCAAACTAGAACCTTGTACTACTGTCAAAACGTGACCACTATAAGCCGCCAGCCATAACAAGGGGTTGAGCACGAGTTGCAATGTTGGACATCAAAGAGCGCTTCCTAGACACATCTCGCTGGTGTTCGAGCAATTCCAACAAATGGAATGTGTTAAATTTTTGTCTCTCGCGATATCAGCGGTGGTCAATATAGAATGCTCAAGCGAGAATTGAGTTTCCGCTGTTTAAAACGCTGTTATTCACTCCAACACACGAAAGATTGCTCCTCGGCAATCATATTTCCTCAAGGTTTCCGAGGACATTTTGTGTTGTATAAGAGTATGATGTGGAAGTTCATGGTCTCCTAAGCGCTAAGAAGCTGTACTTGCCGACGACGACGGTGCAGTTGTCCGAGTTGTCCGTCTGACGTCTCCGCGTTGTGTTCTGTGCATCACGTGCCTCGACAACAGAGTACGGCTGCACTCATCCGGGCCACGCCCCCCACTGCGCCGGCCCCCCGCTCCCCAGCCCGCATAGCACTGCCGTCGTCGCCCCTCCTTTCTAGCGAGCGCGCTCCGCTCACCGTCGTTGTGGCTGTTCTCTATCAATGGAGCCGCCGAGCCGTTGCCGTCCAACCCCCATTCATTCATCCATTCCTCTCCTGAGTTGAGGGAGCTGTGACTCTATGAAATTCTCGCTAGCGGCTCAACTGACACGTGGCATTCGAATAATTTTCTGCTCGATGTTTTCTCTCCAGCTCTATTAGAGAATGCTGGAAATTTGCCCAATACAACCAATGTCGTTTTCAACTAAAATAAAGATCTTTCCTTTCATTCTCTACATAATCAAAATGTGGTCCATTTTTCCATTGTAAGCGCTTCAACTTGCACGCTCTTTGGCCATTCTGTCTCCCATAGTCAAGCAGTCGCTTCTTGTCATCCTTGTGATCTTCACATTCTGCTTGGAAATGAGATTTTCTCTCTGTCACATGAAGTGTTTAATAGGCGAATTTGGCTAATTTACATTCGATAAACCGAATCATGTCTGAAATTTCTCGATCTTGCTCCATCGATTTCTTACGGATTGCCCATCATAGCTTGTTTTCTAGCGGATTGATTTGATCTGGAACTGCCGGAGAGGGAATTCTTCCTTTTTTATTCTCCTCCAGAGCGGTTGGTGCTTCTTCATTTTTTGATAGTGAAGATAGGGGCTCTTATTTGCATCTGCTTGCCTTGGAAAGCTGGATTTGTTGATGAAGCAAAACCGATATCTTCGGTGCGTCGGCCTTTATCACTCAATCCATCGCGGCCTTGCTGTCTCTGTATTAATGTTGTTTGAAGAAAGGAGCCGTCATGGCTTTTTACGACGCTGATCTTGATATGCCGGTTGTTTGCAGTGCACAGGTGCCGCAACGGCGTCGGCGTTCTGTTCGTTGACTGACTAGAATGTTTGCGAACTTTGACTGAAGCGACGTCTGATTGCTTTTAGCGGAAGAATCTCTGTACTTCAAGTTATTAATCAGTAATCTAGTCCCGCCCAACCATTCCAGTGTCCCATTAGTTGAAATTGTGGCCTGGCGATGTTTTCTGAGTTGTTGATGCAGTCTCCAACACTTGTGACCTCCAGACAACTTCGCCAGATATCGCATGACTATCGCCGTTGCCACGGCGTTTACGTTTGGATCCTATCGCTAATGTGTCTAGCGAATGACTAAATTGTTTTGATTGCAAATCTACTAATATAGATTCTTTCTACATTAGTATATTTGTTTGTTACTCAGAACGATTTATTCATTCACTTGGCGTTTCAAAGGTTCTCTTTCACATTTTTTTCGCGTATCGACAATGCACAATCCTCGCTCTGTGATAATTTTTGTAGAGTTCTTGGCTTCTCTGCGGCTTAGCCATCATGAGCAACAGTATGTTTGTATAACCTTGCACCTATTCAGAGTACTGCACCATTATTGAGACATTCTCTTGAATAATCTGTGCATCTTGACCATTTTATGCGAGAGCCAAACTTAGTTACTTTGTAGCTCTTTCCCATTAGGCATTGCTGAGAGTTTTCGGGCTGGATGACTTGCTCATCTGCATCTTTTTTTTTCGTTACGCCGATATAGGACCGGCCATACTATTCCTGTGATTCCTGCAATCAATGCGATTCTCGTGATTGCTGCGGCTCCCGTAGCAATGTATATTGCGAAGAAAACAATGTATACTGAATTTCGGAGAGCTATCCGTAGTGCGGCACATCGGCAGTCGAAGAATCACAAGAATTGTAGGATTGACAGGAAACGCAAATCACCTGCTGGGATAGTATGGCCGGTCTCTATGATTTCAGAATTCACAGAATATCATCCTCTAGTTACCTCATCAGCTGCGTTCAAGGATGTTGCTCATCTAGTTGTCAAAACTGAACTGATGAACTTGAAAATCAGCTGAGCCGTTGCACGCTTAGTTTGAGAAAAACTCCCATTTGCTTGTCATTTGCCGCTAATCCTTCATCTATGTTCCTATTATATTTCGACCGTTCGTCCATAATTCCCTTGTAATGCGACGTGTTCGTTTATTAAAGCTTGATATAGACATCTCTGAATTCTGCTTTTTTTCAGCCCGGTACATCGTGTATCTTTCCTTCCTCAGGTAAATATGGAAAACCAGCAGCAACCGTCTACAACGTCGCTCTGCCGGAACGGGTGTGGATTCTTTGGTTCACAGGTGCGTTGGAGTTCTTGCAAAACTGTGGATGAATAGTAATGATAAACATGTCACATAAAATGGTTAGATAAGTTCTGTTCTGTCTAGTTTGCTCTAAATGATGACTAGATAAGTTCTAATCTGTACACTTTAGCTCATTTAGTTTAGTTGGAAAAATGACTTCATCTCATTGTTTTTGCACTAGTGAAATGCGCATATCACTCGCGCAGACATTACCTGCAATTCTTTTGGTCAAAAACATTGTGTTCGCTAATTGATGTGGTTCTTGTTGCTTTAATATGTTTCTCTGTTGTAAGACTGCCACACATATTAGTGATTATATTTGCTTTGTTGAGTTCGACAGTAAGTGCTCTTTTCCTGCGAAAAATACGAGTACTGTAGTGTTTGGCTTATCGCTGAAGTGCTGCAGTAAAGAGCATCGAGCGCGTAACACTCGCCAGTTGTCTAAAAATACCGCGGTGCTGTCAGTTTATTTCCTCGATTGCTGGCTTTTTGGCAGTTGATGTTAATGAGTGCTGGTAGGAACTTTTAGTAGTTTGAATAAGTTGTCAGTTGGCCTGGTTTGAATAAATTGATTTTGCACAATACGGGTCTATAGTAGCTGTAAATTACCAGTCTTTTATAGTCAGCAAAATCTCATTCTTCGCGTTTTCAGGCAAACGAAGGTCTGTGTTCAAAGTGCTTCAAAGATTCGATCAAACGTAATCAAGATACTGCCAGATTATCTCCTACTGGTAAGTTTTTGCTATGCATGTGTTTGCGTTTGTGCGTTGTGTAGACGACGTCATTGTATTAGCGAAGCTGCTTTGCCGAGCGTGCCTCGCATCGATTGCGTCGACTTGCTGCGAGCGAAGTCTAATGGGGAGCGCGGGGTGCGGGGAATTTTCGATCTGTTTGCGGGGGGCGCAATATGTGCGTTGTACGAAGTTGGGGGTTGGGAATAGCTTGATATAGTCGTCAGTGATTAAGTTTTCTGGGCGCACTTTTGTTCTTTTCTGGCGTTTTGAAGCGTTATTCATTAAAATGCGGGGAATTTATCATTCTTCGATAATCCTTTTTGCTCCGATTGTGCTTGTAACGTCCTCAGATACTGCCTATTTTCAGTTCCAATGCCTATTGCTGCTTCTTCCTCTACTGTGATGTCCGACTGCCCAATGTCTGAACCTCCTGCACAGACCTGCGCACAAGCAGCCCACGCTGCTAGTGAAGTAACTGCCAAGTTGGAAAGCGCAGAGGCAATCGCTGCTGCAAGTCAGCCAGAATCCAGGTGTGTACGCAGCATTGCACTGGTGCCCATCGCTAATCTTGTGTGTTTTCCATAACTTTTATATGTCGATTTCAGTTCTGTGGCAAATGTGGAGTCTACAACAGCCCCTGTAGAAGCTCCAGTTCCCATGAAGAAACCTAATCGTTGCCAAATGTGTAAGAAAAGGGTCGGCCTTACTGGTGAGTAATTGACTGCCGAGTTTGCCTTTTCAGATTTGAGGGGCTTTTCGTGAAAATTTTTGTTTAAGGTTTTACGTGTCGTTGCGGCGGACTATACTGTGGTGAACATCGTTACGATCAGGCGCATAACTGTTCATTCGACTACAAGACGATGGAGCGCGAAGAGATCCGTAAAAACAATCCCGTCGTTGTGTCAGACAAGATTCAGCGAATCTAGGCCACATGGCTTCATCTACCCCGTGAATAAGTTTCTCCCTTTTCATCCTTTTCGTTCGGTCCCCGTCGTCACGAAGAAAATTTTTGTGTTTCTTTTTCTTCATTTCGTTTTCGTGTGTCCTCCTCGAAGTTGCGGTGCGGCCATCTAGTATAACTGGTTCGTTGTGTCGTAACTTGCCAACACTCAGTCATTATACCCGATTCTCTCTATAATGGAAAGTTTTTTGGTGAATAAGTGTGTACCCCTTAGAGAATATTATGGGTCGGGCCACTCTATTTTCTATGTGCTAATGCATTCATCAAGTCCGTCCAACTGATACGTATTCTGTTTTCCTTAGGCTTTTGGATATTTTTGTCTCCCCCGACCTCCGAGTTCTCTCCAGGGGACCGCCGCACACGCTCTTAGCCTCTGTGATCCGAATGGTCTTTGTTACTGCTTGCTAGGTCGTTTTCGTTTATTTTTCTTTTCGGTATGTGTCTAAACATTTGCGCGATTGATCAGAAGTCTATATTTTCCCGAATCACCACCATATTTCCTCCGTCTGTCGTTGTTATGTAGTCAGGACGCGCGCCCAGTTGCGCGAAAGGCGCGCCGCCCGCAATTGCCTTGTGTATTGATTTATTGATTTGTTGCTTGGTTAACCTAGTTGTGTTGGAAGCAGAAATAAGAAACTCTTGAGCTCTCTATATTTGAAGTCATAGCCGTTTCGTGGTTGCTACTGTTGGTTAGGTACTGAATATACACAGGCCCACAACATGCGCATCTGCTAGCGGTATGGGAATCGCCTTCCACTCCACTCCTTCTTGTGTCCTCCTCATCACATACCTAGGTATATCTATTCTTCCTAAGAAGGCTGTAAATAGTATGTAATGAATCGTGAATGATTTTGCAAATAAACGGCTGTGTGACGATCCCATTGTGCACTTGTGTTATCGACAGAGTCGCTTACGTTGGCGTATCTGAGCCAAAAGTTGGCGAGCATACGAAAAGTTTTGCGCTTGGTTAGGCCATTATTCAGTGTGACGCACAAGCGAAGTGCAACTTGCGCGGGGAAAATTGGTTGCGACGACAATGGCAAATTCTGGTTTTTTCCCTTGGGATGTGAATGTTTCATTGGCTACGTCATTTGGTCGCGGTTGGTGCTCTTACATATATGGGGAGTTATGATTTCGAGTTGTTATACAGTTCAATTATTTTCGATATTGGAAATTGCATGAATTGGTAAAATTGGTGGGAGCTGTGCATGTTACGCAGCATAAACTGACTAAAGCGGCGTTGTTTTGACAAATTCGCATGACGGTGCCCGAGGGTACCATCGTATTAATGGAACTGCCTTTTTGGAGTCGTAGAAATTGCTATTCTCAAAACTTTGATCAGTAAAATATGTTCATGAATGTTTGAGGAAAATTAAGCTTGGCATTGTGAAAACTAAACAAATTTCTATACTTAAATGATTGTATCTCAGCAGCCGTTGGCGCAGAACTTGCTGAAGTCCCTACAGGTGAGTTGACTGTTACTCAGAAGCATTTTCGGATTTTGTTTGGTCCATGATGGTGTTTGTGTGTCGCGGACAGTAGTATTTGGTGCATGAAGTCGTTCTGCGGCTTAACTAGTTGTTTAGTCGGTATACAGGATGTTTTTTTATTGAATGTTGCAATGATCACCTTACCAAACCTAGCCGTAGCGTGTTGACGTAGGGCGCTAAGTTGTTGGTAATATTTGGTGAAGTCTGGTCACGTTTGTTGATCATAATATTGAGAAAAGTTCTATAATTAGAGAAGGTGTGATCTATATGTTTTCCACAGAGTACAACAATATCCAACATCCTTTTATTGGTTGCTTCGAAGACTTTTGGATAACAATTTTTCAAACTCGGCATCCGTTGCATCCGAATAAACATTGATTACGCGATTAGAGACAGAAATTTCTATTCATTTCGGTGACTTTTCAATCACCCTTGTTAGGAAATCTCCTCATCTAGTTATCAGTCTTCTCCTGATTGAATAAGGTTTGAATTAGGATGGTAAGCATGATGCTCTTGGGTTGCTCACATCACTTGCGCTAAAAAATGTCCTGAAGCGCAAGATACGCTGCTAGGAGAACGCTAAGCTTTTGGAACATAGTGGCATACCTTTTTGGAACAATCTAACTACCGAAATAGTCTTCTATAAAGTATCTTGCATAGTAAGTCTAGGTTATCGTTTGACCTTACTGTTCTCACAAAGAAGTGGTGCTAAAGTACAAACAATTTCCAAAGTTCAAAGTTGATGAATTCTGACTTTTACGTCTATGACCATTCGAACATAAGATTTATGGCTGGGCAGTCCATCTTTCCATTTGCCAAACATGGTGGCTAGCTGCTGAGCACTGCCAGCCATCGTCAGTAATGAGACTGTGATAAAGCATTGTCATTTCATCAGGCGATGAGAATGGAGAGATCCAACGATCATCTCATACTGTTGAAAGAATTACGAGTCTATCTCACATCTGTCTGAACTTTTTAGCTCTCATATGTCTGCCTGATTATACCAGACATTCGTGTCAGCGCTGAAAATCTCATGAATTGTTGGCAATTTTCTGGCAGCGCAGTCGGGAAAAAAGAGCGATCATGTGGCATTATAGAAATGCATTGTTGGCAGAGCAGTTCTCAAATTCACAATGATTCGGGGAACTTGCTAGAATACAGCCAATGTTCGTTCTATTTGCAATTTTTATATTGTTCGCAATTGGGATTTACAGTAGATCAAAACAAATCAAGCTATTCAAACCGTTGTAATACGTGTATGTGTTATATCAAATGTTCATTTTTGTTCAGTAATGTGGGTTGAACATTGTCCTGCCTTTATCAGCGCCTCTCTTCCCAATGACAGAACCGGTTGTGAAAGAAAAAGTTCCGATAATAAATGGGGTTCTATTCTTTTTCGTTCGGTAGAAGTGCACGGAAGTTTTGCGAAGAGCCCACATTCGTTTTGAACTGCTTTGTTTCAAGAGCATGTTGAGGAGGAGAGTGTTAGTGGTTTGACGGAAAAAGTCTACAACACCTGTTTTAGTCTTCCTGACTGTTCTACATCGAATATAACAAAAGAGGGTTTGTTGGTAACTTTATTGCTAGGATTGTAAGCGCAACTGTCGATATACTATACTATACCGAGGTAGTTTGAAATTGAGAGGGATTGTACTGTTTGTACTAACTTCATCCCAGCACCTGGTTCATTTTAAATTTGCACCGGAGCAGGACGTTTGCTATAGAGCGCGGCACAATCTAAAAGCAGATTAAACAGGAAGCTGAGGGTGCCATGCTTTTCCGCAAACAGCTGCTCCTGTTCATACTTAAAGTCTTCCATTAGATGTCTACTGGGACGAGATCGGCTATAGATTTGGCGATATCATGCAGTGTCTCTGCTTGCACAAAACTCTGAAAAGTGCGCCCTACGGGCATTACGCGCGAGTTGACGGCGTCAGGGGCCAGTTTTCTCCGCGCGAGTGTTGTCGCCCTTGTAAGGGATCATCATAAGCCGTTGGATCCAACGTTATTAATAGCGAACATCACTGAATCGTCGCTATACCTTCTTTGCTTTAGTGAGTGTGTAGCTCTAGATATCCTTTGCAAAGAGCGACGCATATACGGATTTGCTTAATTTCATGTCAGCTTATAATTACATCGAAGCCTGATCATAGTTTCTTCGGTGTTGTAACACATCAGCGTCAACAGCCGTGATGAGGGGACGTCATCTGACGTGAAATCGACGTCAGGCGCGACGTCGTAAGACGTCGTTGTCCTCGTCGAGGCTGTGCGCGAGTGTGCCTGACGGGGGATCGATGCTCGCGACAGCCTCGCTGCCGTCGAGTCGATCGTTCGCTGTTGTGTGGTGCCGGCTGTATCGCGTCGTCGTGTCCTTTCCCCATGGAAAACACGTGTGTGTTTTCAGGAACGCGAACGAGTAACAGGCCGGGATGGTGTAGACGAACGAACGGCGACGGCGGCGGCGCACATCACGACGCCGACAATTTCTGTGCGCCCGGTCGGTGGCCTCTGTTAGCGACACGACGGGTTATCAGGGGGCGAAGGAGTGGGGGGAAATGTTACGAGATGGGACGGGACGAGGGACCAACGGGGTAAGAAGGCGATGCTTGAAGTAGGTCGTGAGCATTAGAATAATGTGGGTTGGCAAGGAGCCATGAAGGAAAAGGTGGAAACCTTCCGAGCGTAAGAGAATTAGTAGCGCTATTTGCTCATTAGGAGGTCCCACTCGTAGTCTGATGATAGCTTCTTGGACCATATTGATTCCGAGCGAAGGGCGCAAATAGATGACAAATAAGTGTATCGTGCTACCTTCGGTCCCTTCCTCGACAAACCTTTGGGATTAAATGCTATAGTTAGGGTATATTGATAGGTGCGGATTAGTTCTGCAGTTATCCGTCTTACCTAAGAGGAGTGGATAAACCGATAGTCCGATCATTGACATTCACGCTTTTCGCGAAAGCGGCACAACAGCGACGAATATAAATTAAATCCTTTCATCTCAAGAAACTTTCGGATCTCAGACATCAAACTTTACATTCATAAGTAATTTGGGATATTTCCTCATGGTGATACTTTATTTATCAATTTATTTTTGATTTTATGCACACTGAAATACAAACCAGATGTGTACTGCATTTGCTCAAAGGTGTGTGATCAGTTCTCAGCAATTTTTTCTGCCGTTTCGAAGTTGTTTTGAAGTTTGATTTCTATAAATAGATTTTAGTTGTAGACAGTTCTGCATGATCTGACTGGTACTGTGTGCATGCGGCTGTTTATGCATGCCAAATAGAATGACGAGGGTTCTAATTATTAATTGTATGGTTTCTGCACAATAACAGACTCATCGCTTTCATAATCAAGGCCGCATCAAAGTTCTGGAAATGGGGAGGGAAAGGGTCAAAGAGGAGGGTAAGTAAGGATCATCCACAGAATTCGCGTATTTATTTGGATGATGATTGTAAAAATACTACAGAAAGTTGTAATATTTCACATGATGTGATGGATCCCGAAAAATGGGCTAGCGGAAAGGGAAGAGACAAGAACTTAGAAGGAGGGACTTCCTTTGGTATATAATTGTGGTATCTTTAGATTTTTGGGCTATGAAAACAGCTAGATAGCTTATTTCTCTAAATCTGTGTCACTATTATTATTACCAATTTTTTATATTTTTTACTACCAATCACACCAAATTGCAACCCTCATATTCAAACTGATGTTTTTTCTGTCTTAATATTTAATCGTTTTCCTGAGGTTTTTTCAAAAGAATATTGGAATAAAGTTGTAATCAGTTATGGGTAATAGAAGGAAATGATGAAAGGGTTGTTCTCCTAGCCAAGAATGGAATACAAACAACTTCTTTCAAAACCAGAATTTCTGCAGCTCTTGCAAGGAATATGCCAAACATTGCAACGAACTTGAGAGGAGTGGGTGTGGTGGTGAGTAAGAAATGCTGAATTTGCAGAAAATGTCGACACATTGCTGATTCACCAGAATCGTTCCGGAAGTCAATGACTAAAAATCTGCGTCAAACTGGAAATGTCAATTTTGCGATCGAGGCAAATGTCCTTGTAGCGATCTCCTGGGTTGAGTTTTTGCCCAGCACGTCTGTCTCCATCCATCCATCGTTGTCCGATCGATGTCCGAGGTGGCTGCATTCTCTGCCGTTGTGCCTCCTTATCATTACAATCGTTTCGTGCAATCGCTATTTTTTCTGCTCTTCTCATGTCTGGCTTCTTTCCTTGTTTGCGCTTAGTTTTTGTTTTCGAAAAACCGCTGGGTGTGACTTCGTAGTTAGCGATGAAGAACTGGATTAGACTCGTTGCAGCTTTTGATATCCCCACACATCGCCACGGAGATAACGATCGTACGGCAAACAGGAAGACATACTTCTCATTTCATTCATGGGGCTTATTGCATCAGTGCTCAACTATCTTGAGTGAGTTTCCGCTCACTTCCTCTTTGGTCAGGCAAGACCTTTTCACCTGCGGATTTCGAAACTACTTCCCGAGGCGGAGATTCCTTTGCCGCACCTGGGTATATTGTTAGAGGGAGAGGACCATGTGGCTGCGGCTGCTTTTCGATTAATAAATCCACATCCACCACAGCCGTCTCTATAAGAAATTCAATCGTGTTGTTATTGCTGCCATTGTGTGGTGCTGGCAATGGGATCGCCAACGATCGAGAACCGGTGTGCAAAGATTGCCGAGGCGAATCGAAAATGACTACGGCAACGGACGGCGAAGAGGGATCGGTTCTTTCTTTTGGGGTTTGCTGAGTAACTGCAAGAATAGGGGGAGGGTGCTCGCAATGCTTCGCCGTTTGCTCGGCTTTTTTACTTTTCTTTGTAACTCTGATGTGCTAAACATGAGATCTGGTACGGGACGAAAAATGTCAAATAGGAACAATTTTTCGAGCAACCTAAAGTCCATCCGCTTTGGCCCCAGGCCCATAACTTGAGAGTACAAGCACTAGAGCATTGAGAGGCTATGCACTCCACCTTCTCAGGTACTCGCGCCGTGCGGGCGGCCAGCGACGACCTTACAATCGCTCGTTGGTGTGTGCGGTTGTACGGTCGTCAAGGGCCGTTGGAACGGTTAACGTGGGGCGCCCGCACGGTCTCTAATGTTCGCCGCTTGCGCGGGGAAGGTCGGCCGCTCGCTTGCTGTTGGAGTAGAAGTATATGGGATATCTTGACCATTTTTCTTGGATAGATCAATCTTTTTCACATTTCGGGAACATGGATCGATGCTTCCGCAATGGCCAAACTTTTCATGCGAAAGCCCACTCCATCACTCTTGATAACTTTAGCATCACACAGATCCATCCAGCCTTGCTGATGAAAGAAAATGTTGATGACACGGTATCTCAATGCTTAGCCAGCCTAAACACTGCGTCGTATCTCACACAGGCACCGTTTACGCTCACAATGTGTGAAAATAGTGAGCAGAAAATAGAGGTCACTGTCGGGCGCTTGCACGGCAACAGGTATTGCCGACCGATAAGACGGACGCATTGCCAGCCGCTCGCTAGAGCAACTGTATTGCATGCCATTTGCACGGTAACATTGCCTGCCGCTAGGACGGCGTTTCAGTTGTTGGCCGCACGCACGGAAGCTTTAGACTTATGCCGACCGCTTGTGCGCTAGCCCTTAAAGGAGGACCGCCCGCACGGCGCGAATCCCTGAGTTCTTTGCACTACTGTTTGACTAGTTCGCATTCCAAAGGTGTTCCGAGAATGAAGTCCGTAGCAATTTTCTCCCTTCCGCCTTGAAACCTAATGGCTATGGAAGCCGTGGGCTTGAGAGAGCTTTTAGCGGGAACAAGTCTATTGGAAAGGCATATTTGCTCAAGTAAGAGGTATGATGCATTGCTTAGGAGGAGGACAAAGTTATGCAGAAGTGCCCCCCCCCCCCCTTCTCCCCTCCAAGATACTGTCGCAGAAATTTGATACCTAGTTATTTTTCCTGCAATGGTTACCCACGATGTGGGCTACAGTTGAGTGATGTATGCAAATCAAGAGTTTCATATAGATCAAAGTAAACGATAAAAGTTTTTGCTTTTATAGAACTTCAAATTGGTTTTGTAAAAAAATCTTTTTGGTGCGGTTACCTAAGGTCTTCTCAGAAAATTTACCGCCACAAGCTTGCGAAGAAAACGAAGGGCTTCCTAACAGTTTTCTCGAGAGGCATAGTAACCTACCTTCATTCAATTCCTATCGCTCCCCCCCCTCCCCCTCCTGAAAAATAAATTTTTTTGACTGTCAGTATTGCTTGCTTTTGTTTTATCAGATGCGATTCTTCCAGAGCATTTTGCGCTGCTTGCGAAGCATCGAACTGATGTGGTTTCTTAAAGAAGAAATTTGATAACCTTAAATTTTGATAGTGTTTGAGGTGGTAACACAACATCTGAGGTGAGATTCCAGAATCTCGTTGACAATATGTACCAGGTTTTTCTGCTACGGTTTTCCTTCGAAAGGTACCGGAGCGAAATGAGTCGCATAAAAACACCAGAAATCATAGTGAAGGTGCCTCTCTGGTTACCAAACCATGAACTTTCCGTGCAATTATGTCTTGCACTGCAATTACACAAAATCTCACCAAAAGATCTACTCAACTATGTGTGCTCTGAAACCACATTAATTACAGTAACTCTGAATGACTAATAACCTATACAAGTTCCTCTAGTGTCTCCCATCAGAAGGAACTCGTTCCCTGTTATTGCTCCCATTTCATTACTCACAACCAGGGGTAGTGTGCTGCAATTAGAAGGGAAAACATAATATCTGAAGTAGCGAAGGCTAGGATGATGGTTTCAAAAATCAAAGCTATCAGGTAGCGAGAATAAGCTACCAGATGCTCTGCAAACATGTGCTCGCAGTTCTGTGAACATTACTTCTCGCGTTCGCACACAGAGGCAGTAATGTTTTGGTTCGATGACTAGTTTATTGAGTGTTGTTTGATGTGCAGCGCCAGTTTATTGCACGCACGGACTCGTCGTTCTTGGAGGGGGGCAGGGAAGGTTGTAGAAGATTGGAAGTTTTTTGGAATATACTTGTAAAAAGAACATTCAAATGACGTCTGTCTTATCACACTTCTAGAGCTTGCATCAAATATCTTCGAACTAAGTAAATAAGGAAAATGTTTGTAAAGTAGATCAAGTGCTCCCATCTTCAAACCTGGGCGTTTTGTGAAGTGTCAGTATGTGCCGTGTTATGCCAAACCAGATTTTTGGTGGATCTTCCACTGACTGAGGACCGTTACCGACTGTCTGTGCGGGCTTACTGAAATGCGGTGGATCCAAGGCCGCTAAACAAGGCGAGACTGTCGAAACCTCAGGCTCAATAAAGTTCCACCAAAATCCTGGTTTGGCATAAAACGACATATACTGTTTGTAAAGTTTTTTTGGAGCCCTTGTAGCCCCAGTTCAAAACACCGCCATGCCGACAATATTTGCGTATAAATTGTATTATACATACAGCAAAATTTTTACTTGTGCGCCCCTATGCATTTTTCACGCTCAATGCCGATACCGCAGTGCTTGTGGCTGAGAATTTTCATGGAGAGGCGATGACAGAATTTCTTTGAAATTATGGACGGAGTAGCGGGTTAGCGATACCCTCCAAAAAATACTTTTTGCTTGCTTCTCAACTTTTTAGTGAACCTTTAACCCCAAAGTTTTTCGGAAAACGGGACGTGGCATCAGCACATCTTCAAAAACTTTTTTTACAAGATTAATTTATTTTTTAGGATTTTTTTCAAAAATTACTTTGATCGTTTACAAGCAAGAACAAGTTTGCTCAATATATCTTATGTAGGTAACCCCTAAAAATCTTCGCGACCCGTTCTGGGAGGGGGGAGGATGGGCAGGGGCTTCCGCGCTAGCACAATAATCACTAGATCTACTAAGTTGTACCATGTTTTGATATTTTCACATCAATCAATCTGGACATTACGAATTCATAACTGCGTCGGTAGCTTATATCGAACCTACATTCCACCACCATTGATCAGTTTTCGAAACGGACCTTGTTTCTTCCGTACTGTAACATGGCTGTCATCAGTATACATTCTAATCTAGAGTTCCGCTTTCTTCTCCATTTTCTTATCTACAGTTTTTTAGTATTTACGGACATGGTAGACTTGCGTGCTTTGATAAGTTCATCACGTGGTGAGAATATACAGAACAAACAACATTGTTGTTTATTTAGTCACTTCTTACTGCTTGTTGAGGCGATGTGTTCGAAAAAGTGTTTGCTAAAGAAAGCAGGGAGCTAATGAAGACAACTGACGTACAGACTACACCGATGAAGTATAGTGCATCACATAAAATCACAAGCTTGATAGCTTAAGTTGCTTCCAGATAAGAAGTGCACTGCCTTAAGCTTGAAGCCCTTATCACAACTCAATCCTCATTATCAGCGTAGCGCCTTCCTACAAGAAGTTGTAGGTGTTTCCAGTGGGGGAGGGAGGGGGGGAGGGGGAAGGGACTTTAGACTTATAGGGCCGCATGCATTAACATCCCCGCTGGGGAGGGGATCGCAGCTTGAAAGAAAGCTTCATATCCTGAAGCTCCAGATATCTGGATCTTACGCTGTCTATCAGTAAGCATGCCTACCATCCTCCACTATGAACATATTGAACAGAGACGAGAAGCTATACAAGCCGCATTTTCCAGCTTTTTGTATTTGTGTTTTTTTTTTTGATCCCCTGGTGGATCCCGGGGGACGACCGTCTACTCTTTGAAGTCATTTTTCTTTCTTCAAAGTTAACCAAAACATTACAAAGTGTATTGCTTATCTAATCCAACAGTGCTGAGCATGTTGCTGACAAGAACAAATGATGTTTTGGAGTCATGAAATTTTCGATGAAGCACAGGTCGAATGTTGGGGTTTAACGGAAATTTCATAAAGTTGGGGTTTAACGGAAATTTCATATTTCAGAAACTCATTTGTTCTCATCAGCAATATGCTCAGCACTGTTGGGTTAGATACCCCGGTTTCGGACCCCCCCGGTCCGAAATCCTAGGACCGCCACTGATTTGTACTCATGCTCACGGCCCGGCGCAGATCATTTGGAAGCAGGCTGGACTTCGTTTTTGGGGCGAAAAAGCAAAGGCGATGTCGTTTTTGCGGATCCGAAAAAACTCAAGTTTTGCGAAATTCAGGGTGGACGTCGTTTTCAAAAAGCCTAGAAACGGACCTATGCCGGGCCTGTCCATGCTCACCTCTACGTAGAAGTAGTAAAACTAGGCATAGGAGGATTTTTTTTTTGAAATTTTGGATACGCCAAAACAAACACTTCATATGCTATGTATGCAAGCGAGCAAGACGAATGCCTTTCTGAACATAATTCTCGAACATAATTTTTCCTAAATTTCCTTTAGATACGCTTTTGAGCCTGGTCGAGACCAAAAATTTATCATGCGTCGCGAGAGCGAT